GCTTTGTGGTGTCAATTCTAAAAATATATTCTATTGATCATGTGGTAGACTATCAATAATTTCAACAATATTTTAAAAATGGTTGCTTCTAAGAAACAAATAGATGCAACCATTTCTCTAGGCTGGAGAATACACTTGCTAAGTGAAGGACCCCACTGGAAATAAGTCACTCTGACTTTTTTGGATTATCCTAGGTACTTTACACATATGCTGCTATGTATGAAAATCTATGTAACTGCATTTGTGTATACCTCAATAAACTTACTTACTTAGCAGGTAAAAGCAGGTCCTGACCATATGATCTCACTGACATTACCATGTCTTTAACCAGTAAGAAGTCTGATATTTTCCTACTGACAAAGAATTCTCCCATAAATTGATGTGGTAAAACTTTTGCATTGGCAAATACTACCCTAACTTGATCTAACATGCCCTAACTCAAAATTATGTTAAATATTTTACTTGCCATCATATTTTAAAAAGTTACTGAATTTCCTGCCATGATAACTCGCTGATGTTAGGGGTTTGGTAAGTTTATTTAGGTACAGGTACACACAAGTGCAATTATCATACATACTGCAAATTACCTAGGATAACCCAAAAAGTCAGACAAAGTGATTTATTTTCATTGGGGGTTCTTGTAATATCTTATTATTTAAACCTTCAAAGTTAAGAGAGATAAATGATCATGCTGAATGTCAACTAGTTTATACAGTTTGTTTAGTTTAAATACTGTCAAGTGCATGCGGATTATTAAATCTGAAAACTGCCAGTACACTAACAAAGAATATTTTAATCCTCAACACAACAACTGAAGTAAATAAGTTTTCCACACAGAATGCTTGAAAGATACACTGAACACTGAAAGATACACTGAATACTGAAACATACACTGAATACTGAAAGTTACACTGAACAATGAAAGATACACTGAACACTGAAAGATACAATGAACACTGAAAGATACACTGAACACTGAAAGATACAATGAACACTGAAAATACATGAACACTGAAAGTATACACACTGAAGACACTAAATATATAACTGAACACTGAAAGATATACTGAACACTGAAAGATATACTGAACACTGAAACATACACTGAACACTGAAAGATATACTGAACACTGAAAGATACACTGAACACTGAAAGATACACTGAACACTGAAAGATATACCGAACACTGAAAGATATACTGAGCACTGAAAGATACACTGAGCACTGAAAGATACACTGAACTCTGAAAGATACACTGAACACAAAGATACAGTGACCACTGAAAGATACACTGAACACAAAGATAAAGTGACCAATGAAAGATACAGTGAATACTGAAAGATATAGTGAGCACTGAAAGATACAATGAATACTGAAAGATACAGTGAACACTGAAAGATACACTGACACTGAAAGATATACTGAACACTAAAAGATACACTGAATACTGAAAGATACATTGAATACTGAAAGATACAGTGAACACTGAAAGATACACTGACACTGAAAGATACACTGAACACTGAAAGATACACTGAACTCTGAAAGATACACTGAACTCTGAAAATACACTGAACACTGAAAGATACACTGAACAGTATAAGACACTGAACACTAAGATACTGAACACTGTAAAATACACTGAACAGTGTAAGATACTGAACACTGTAATACACTGAACACTGTAAGATACACTGAACACTGTAAGATACACTGAACACTGTAAGATACTGAACACTGTAATACACTGAACACTGTAAGATACAGACACTGTAAGATACCTGAACACTAATACACTGAACACTGTAAGATACACTGAACACTGTAAGATACACTGAACACTGTAAGATACACTGAACCATGTAAATAACACTGAAACAACTGTAAGATACACTGAACACTGTAAGATACACTGAACACTGTAAGATACACTGAACACTGTAAGATACACTGAACACTGTAAGATACACTGAACACTGTAAGTACACTGACACTAAGAACACTGACATAAGATACACTGAACACTGTAAGATACACTGAACACTGTAAGATACACTGAACACTGTAAGATACACTGAACACTGTAAGATACACTGAACACTGTAAGATACACTGAACACTGTAAGATACACTGAACACTGTAAGATACACTGAACACTAAGATACACTGAACACTGTAAGATACCTGAACATGAAATACACTGATAAGATACACTGAACACTAAGATACACTGAACACTGTAAGATACACTGAACACTAAGATACACTGAACACTGTAAGATACACTGAACACTAAGATAACGAATAGATCACTGAACACTAAGATACAACTGATACACTGCTAAGATACACTGAACACTAAGATACACTGAACACTAAGATACACTGAACACTAAGATACACTGAACACTAAGATACACTGAACACTAAGATACACTGAACACTAAGATACACTGAACACTGTAAGATACACTGAACACTAAGATACACTGAACACTGTAAGATACACTGAACACTGTAAGATACACTGAACACTAAGATACACTGAACACTAAGATACACTGAACACTAAGATACACTGAACACTAAGATACACTGAACACTAAGATACACTGAACACTAAGATACACTGAACACTAAGATACACTGAACACTAAGATACACTGAACACTAAGATACACTGAACACTGTAAGATACACTGAACACTGTAAGATACACTGAACACTAAGATACACTGAACACTAAGATACACTGAACACTAAGATACACTGAACACTGTAAGATACACTGAACACTAAGATACACTGAACACTAAGATACACTGACACATCACTGAAATAGATACACTGAACACTAAGATACACTGAACACTAAGATACACTGAACACTAAGATACACTGAACACTAAGATACACTGAACACTAAGATACACTGAACACTAAGATACACTGAACACTAAGATACACTGAACACTAAGATACACTGAACACTAAGATACACTGAACACTAAGATACACTGAACACTAAGATACACTGAACACTAAGATACACTGAACACTAAGATACACTGAACACTAAGATACACTGAACACTAAGATACACTGAACACTAAGATACACTGAACACTAAGATACACTGAATACACTAAAGATACACTGAACACTAAGATACACTGAACACTAAGATACACTGAACACTAAGATACACTGAACACTAAGATACACTGAACACTAAGATACACTGAACACTGTAAGATACACTGAACACTAAGATACACTGAACACTGATAACGTAGATACACTGAACACTAAGATACACTGAACACTGTAAGATACACTGAACACTGTAAGATACACTGAACACTAAGATACACTGAACACTAAGATACACTGAACACTAAGATACACTGAACACTAAGATACACTGAACACTGTAAGATACACTGAACACTAAGATACACTGAACACTAAGATACACTGAACACTAAGATACACTGAACACTAAGATACACTGAACACTGTAAGATACACTGAACACTAAGATACACTGAACACTAAGATACACTGAACACTAAGATACACTGAACACTAAGATCACTGAACACTAAGATACACTGAACACTAAGATACACTGAACACTAAGATACACTGAACACTAAGATACACTGAACACTAAGATACACTGAACACTAAGATACACTGAACACTAAGATACACTGAACACTAAGATACACTGAACACTAAGATACACTGAACACTGTAAGATACACTGAACACTAAGATACACTGAACACTAAGATACACTGAACACTAAGATACACTGAACACTAAGATACACTGAACACTAAGATACACTGAACACTAAGATACACTGAACACTAAGATACACTGAACACTAAGATACACTGAACACTAAGATACACTGAACACTAAGATACACTGAACACTAAGATACACTGAACACTAAGATACACTGAACACTAAGATACACTGAACACTAAGATACACTGAACACTAAGATACACTGACACTAAGATACACTGAACACTAAGATACACTGAACACTAAGATACACTGAACACTAAGATACACTGAACACTAAGATACACTGAACACTAAGATACACTGAACACTAAGATACACTGAACACTAAGATACACTGAACACTAAGATACACTGAACACTAAGATACACTGAACACTAAGATAAGAACACTAGAAACTGAACCTAAGATACACTGAACACTAAGATACACTGAACACTGTAAGATACACTGAACACTAAGATACACTGAACACTAAGATACACTGAACACTAAGATACACTGAACACTAAGATACACTGAACACTAAGATACACTGAACACTAAGATACACTGAAAGGTACACTCGCTGCTGTCCTAACAATAATTAACAACATTAAACATTACCTTTTTGCTCCTGTAAGGTTAGCCAATTTATTCTTGTTATTATTATTACATATACTTGTTTGGGTTACAATAATTATAACAACACAATTACAATTACTCCAGCTCACTATATTTTGTTATATTTCAATATTTTTCAATATTCATGGCTTGGCGCACAACCATCACTCAGATGCACACTACAACACTTAAATACATAAAATAAAATTTATTTTCAGAGCACTGAAGATTAAATAGGTAATATGAAGCAAATATTAAGATATATGAGCACTAGCACCACTGGATATAAGAATGGTCTTTAAGAGAATCTTTTAGGTACAGGTACACAAATACAACTACACAAATTATTATATATGGTAATATATGTGTAAATTACTTAGGATAACCTTCCCCAAATAAAGGTCAAAGTGACTAATTTCCACTGGGATCCTTGAGGACCTTTGTATTTCAACACGACACCAGAGTTTGAGATGATTTTCCCGTGAACTGGAGATAAAATTTGCTAGATGGTGATATGAGAGAAGGGTAGATAAGTGGGAGTAAGAGTGGGTAGAATAATAAAGAGTGGGTACCTTTGGATGCCAGAGAGCGGACTTGGACATTGTACTGGCTGGTTAATGACTGCCTCTCACCCTCCCAGAAGCACTGACATGCACACACAACGTCACACAAGTTTCATGGTATCATCGTCGCCGTCAAAAACAACGTCACTTCATTATAAAGACTCTCACCTTTGGACCAAACTTAAATTAGCACTATTGCTCAACGTAACCACTCTGTAGCTCAGGAAATACACTGAAGCTATGTTCCTATATTCTTACTACCCTGACTTATTCAACCATTAAAACTGGTAATTTAACAATGTCTATTAAATCTTCATCATACTTCCATGTAGTATTCTCCATTTACTATTAAAACCAAGTGTTTTTTCCCGTAAAGTTTTATGAGAGGTGGAAGAGATGGCCTTTTAAGGGGACTTGAGGCATTCGCCGGCATTATAGGAATAACAATACAATTTAAATTGAAGTCAAATTTTATTTAGGACTCAAATATAATTTTGGAAGTTTTCTAATATTTTCAATCAGGAAAGTATGTAGAAGTTATCCCAGGATAAGTGAATTAAGCCAAACAATATGGCTAATTTCTACTAATTTACGCGCATGAAAAATCCACAATACAAAATTGTATATTAATTTTGATTATTAATTATTATTATTATTACTATTATTATTATTATTATTATTATTATTATTATTATTATTATTATTATTATTATTATTATTATTATTATTATTATTATTATTATTATTATTATTATTCAGGGTATGTATACACGCTGTTTTAAGCTACTTCAATGAACCCAAATGGAAATAAGCCACTATGACTTTTTTGGGGTTATCCTGGGTAATTTACACATATGTTACTATATATTGTTAGTAAGTTTATTTAGGCACAGATATACATAAGTACAATTATCACACATAATGTAAATTACCCAGGATAATCCATAAAAGTCAAAATGATTTATTTCCACTTGAGTCTTTCTATAATAATTGTACTTACTTGTACCTCTACCTAAACAATCTTACCCACTTACTTACTTACTTACTTACTTACCCACTTACTTACCCAGGGTATGTGCTTCATGGCGCTACCTGGCAGTTCATTCCACTCGTCTTAAAAAAACTATACAACCAAACCAGAACTTTCCTACATCACTCCTTAACCCGAATAATATTTTTTTTCAATTTGAGTCGAGTATTGTGAGTTTCAGACATCTTCACCGCCTGTATAATGCTCTGTTTCTATGTAATATTTCATCTGGGCACTTCAGTCATGTCTTGACTCATGTTAGTCTAGATATTACAAGGATCTACAATGGTAATAAGTCACCTGGAGTGACTTTTTGGGGGGGGTTTATCCTGGGTAATTTATACTGTGTATGATAATTGTAATTATGTGTACCTGTGCCTAAATACACTTACTAGACAGCCCACTGGATGGGTATGAGGTGCATAATAAAGATGTTAAATTAACTAATTACTACAAAATTGTGTTAACCTCAGGCCCACAATGAGAGTGAATTAAGAGGCACCTAACTTCCCCCAGTCTTCTAATAACATGTTCATTTTTCCATTATAAACTACCGTGTACATAATTACTATCACATTTCCTTTGTTTGTTAAGGTGAAGTCCAGGATCTTTGACTTAATTCAAGGTATAACTTAAATCTTTGACGACAATTATGTTACACTGAGCTCAGACTTCTGTAACACAATTAACCTCAAAGATTTGTTAAGTTATACCATGAATTAAGTAAATATCCTGGACTTCACCTTACGAAACAGACAAAACAAATGTGATAGTAATTATGGACAAGTTAGATTATAGGGAGAAAATAATCATGATATTAGGAGACGGAACTCAGGCGATTTGCCATTCTTCTCTGTGTATATTTTACATCACATTATCCTCCGTACAGTAATGTGTCCACCAGAAATGTGTGGTATAATCACAGCTGTATTGTTAAGACTGTTGGAATTTTTAACCCGGGGTAGGAAGGGTTAGGCACCCAGGATAACCTGGGGTAGGGAGGGTTAGCCACCCAGGATAACCTGGGGTAGGGAGGGTTAGCCACCCAGGATAACCCGGGGTGGTTATCAAGTTATCGAGTTAGTTCCAGACTTTGGAACAGAACTTCTCCAGGCTGAGGGACTGACAACCTCAAATCTACGACTTCAAGGGTGATGGACTGATTACATCGTCTTCACATCTCTACTGCTCACGCCTACTTTCTGTACTCGACTGAAGAAGCCTACTGTGTAGGCGAAACGTTTCGAAATAAAGTTGCCTAAATGTTGCCTATGTGTCTTATCTACCATAACCCGGGGTAGGGAGGGTTAGCCGCCCAGGATAACCTGGGGTAGGGAGGGTTAGCCACCCAGGATAACCCGGGGTAGGGAGGGTTAGCCGCCCAGGATAACCTGGGGTAGGGAGGGTTAGCCACCCAGGATAACCCGGGGTAGGGAGGGTTTAAGCCACCAAGGATAATCCAAGTGCGTTATCGAGGACCGTCTGTCTTAAAGACACAGCATCAACAACACGGCCACTTGAAACTGGAGTTCCGCAGGGAAGTGTCCTTGGTCCCCTGCTCTTCCTCATATGCATCAATGATCTTCCAAACATATCCCAACACCTGAACCCCATTCTCTTTGCTGACGACACGACTTATGTCATCTCTCACCCTAATCTTGCCACCCTCAACACCATTGTTAACGAGGAGCTGATCAAAATATCGACTTGGATGACAGCCAATAAACTTACACTTAACACTGGCAAAACCTACTATATTATGTTTGGTAGCAGAGCAGGAGTTGCGCAAATTAACATTAAGATCGACAACACTCTAATTGCCAGACATAATGAGGGCAAATTCCTAGGCCTATACCTCGACAACAACCTGAATTTCAGCACCCATATCCAACACATAACCAAGAAAGTATCCAAAACGGTTGGGATCCTCTCCAAGATACGATACTACGTGCCGCAAAATGCCCTTCTCACACTATACCATTCACTTATATATCCATACCTCACCTATGCTATCTGTGCTTGGGGTTCAAATGCAGCAACACACCTAAAGAAAATAATAACCCAACAAAAAGCTGCAGTAAGAATAATCACTAAATCCCATCCCTGGCAACACCCCCCCCCCACTCTTCATAGATCTAAACTTACTCCCTGTTCAGTACATCCACACTTACTACTGTGCAATCTACATCTACAGGACCTTAAATTCCAGTATTAACCTTGACCTAAAATGCTTTCTTGATAGTTGTGACAGAACCCACAGGCATAACACCAGACACAAACATCTCTATGACATTCCCCGTGCCCGACTATACCTTTACAAAAATTCAATGTATGTCAAAGGCCCTAAAATCTGGAACACCCTACCTGAGAACTCTAGAACTGCAGACACATTCATCACCTTCAAAACTACCATTAGAAAACATCTTATCTCCCTGATACACCCCGTCAACTAACTACACGAATACCACCTGGTGGTTCACACTTACACTCACTCACCCATTTGACTATAAACAGAAATATCAATCTCAATCTTAAAATAATGAATCTTAACTAGTCATAAGTTGGCCTGTGATACTCCAATACTGAAACTATGTATAGTGCCAAAACAAAAGCATTCACATTGCTAAACTCACAACTAGTATTTATCACTTAGCCATAATACCAACTTACCTCATAATTTGTAATATTTTAAATTTAAGAATTAATCTAAGTTTGCCCGAAGTACCTAGCCATGCTAGGTGTTCTAGTGGTACACTCTGTAATTATTATTTTACTACATGTAAACCACACAATAACCAAATTCTGTAAACTCAGCATTGTAATCCTTATAGAGAATAAACTTTGAATTTGAATTTGAAATTGTGGTTCTTCAGTTTTGTCCCCCAGGATGCCACCCACACCAGTCCACTAACACCCAAGGACCTACTTACTGCTAGGTGAGAAGGGGCAGCAGGTGTAAGGTGACTAACACCCAGGTACCTAGTTATTGGTAGGTGAACAGGAACAGCAGCTGTAAGGTGACTAACAGCCAGGTGCCTAAATACTGCTAGGTGAGCAGAGACAGTACACCAGGTTGTGCTAACAGTGATAACTACACCAGGCTGTGCTAACAGTGATAACTACACCAGGCTGTGATAACTGATGATAACTACACCAGGCTGTGTTAACAGTGATGAAAACTACACCAGGTTATGCTAACAGTGATAACTACACCAGGCTGTTAACAGTGATGAAAACTACACCAGGCTGTGTTAGCAGTGATAACTACACCAGGCTGTGATAACTGATGATAACTACACCAGGCTGTGATAACAGTGATGAAAACTACACCAGGCTGTGTTAGCAGTGATAACTACACCAGGCTGTGATAACTGATGATAACTACACCAGGCTGTGATAACTGATGATAACTACACCAGGCTGTGTTAACAGTGATGAAAACTACACCAGTCTGTGTTAGCAGTGATAACTACACCAGGCTGTGTTAACAGTGATAACTACTCCAGGTTGTGTTAACAGGAATGATAACTACACCAGACTGTTAACAGTGATGATAACTACACCAGGCTGTTAACAATGATGATAACTACACCAGGCTGTTAACAGTGATGATAACTACACCAGGCTGTTAACAGTGATGATAACTACACCAGGCTGTTAACAGTGATGATAACTACACCAGGCTGTTAACAGTGATGATAACTACACCAGGCTGTTAACAGTGATGATAACTACACCAGGCTGTTAACAATGATGATAACTACACCAGGCTGTTAACAGTGATGATAACTACACCAGGCTGTTAACAGTGATGATAACTACACCAGGCTGTTAACAGTGATGATAACTACACCAGGCTGTTAACAGTGATGATAACTACACCAGGCTGTTAACAGTGATGATAACTACACCAGGCTGTTAACAATGATGATAACTACACCAGGCTGTTAACAATGATGATAACTACACCAGGCTGTTAACAATGATGATAACTACACCAGGTTGTGCTAACAGTGATGATAACTACACCAGGCTGTTAACAGTGATGATAACTACACCAGGCTGTGTTAACAGTGATGATAACTACACCAGGTTGTGTTAACAGTGATGATAACTACACCAGGTTGTGTTAACAGTGATGATAACTACACCAGGCTGTGTTAACAATGATGATAACTACACCAGGCTGTTAACAG